GTGAATATGCAGCAACAGTGGTGACACGTTTCAATTTGACTGCCCTTTATACATTTCATATGCAAACAACGACCAGAATCCGCGTAAGTTAAGACTACGCGCCAGGCTCCAGGGGCAACCAGCTTACATCTCTCACCGCCCATAGAGGCAGATCCATTAACACAAGTCATATTTCACTGGAATTCATTTTTTCTGGGAGGAAACGCCTCTGTGTTCTAGTGGTCAGAGGTCCGGTTTCGATTCCTGGCACTACCAGATTTTTTGAGTAGTAGTGGGTCTGGAACGGGGTCCACTCAGCCTCATGCGACTCCGGTCTAGAAAATCGAAATTAACGGTCGTGGGGATTCGTTGCGCTGATCACGCGACACCCTCTATCCGCTAAAGTTCGCACTGCGCCAACAAGCGGCGGTTGCTTGGTCGGTAATTCCCTTGCGGACTAAAAGTAGGGAGGTTTTTTAAGTAAAATAATTGCCGATCACAGTGGCCAAGCGGTCTAACGCATGAACTGTCTTCGCTCGCTCGAACGGAGGGATAGTGAGTTCTGTGTGTCTGTGTGTTTGTGTTGCCCTGTATATAGGTAGCGGCCTCTCGACGGGCTGATCCCCCGTCCAAGGAGTGAAGTGTTGGTGCCTCACCTGAGTTCTGACGGAGCTTTGTAAGCAGCACTCGTGACGTAGATGTCCGACCCTTCGTTGTCATAGTGATTGTCCCTGCTCTTGCTGCGCCCGTTCCTGTGTCGGTCTTTGCGATGGTTCCGCTCGCCAGGCGCTGCCTCAGTAGCTGCAGCGCGCTCGTTGCCAACCATATACTCGGACAGGGTCCGATCTGATGGCGCCCGCTGACTCTCTTCCCCATCCGTCGAGTACGCCCTGTTAAACATAAGGAACATCAGTGCCAGGAGCAAGTTGGCGCATCTTGGCTGAGACTTGCTGTACTGACAGGTACTTCACTATTTTTCTAATCCCCAGGCAAATTTCCAAATACTACCATCAATTAGGCTATGACTGCTTCCGTCCACATCCTTTTCAATTCGTTATTATCGAAAGTCCAACCATTCGACGCTATGTGGCCTGAGATACTGACAGTTTCGTTAAATAAATCTCGCTATACAACAAAACCATAACGATGCTGTTTGAGATTATGGTAACACAGTGCGCTGACAGAGCTATGAACTCTCCTGGTTGCAGGTAGTACTAATTCTGCCTGTAGGTGGTTCCGCCATGAGCCGGTATGGCGACTGGCTGCGAGCTGGAAGGCCAAGGGGTCAAAGTTTGAATCCCGGTAGAGGTAAGATCTTTGTCTTCTCTACGTCGTCCAGACTTGCTCTGGAGGGGCCACCGGCCTCCTATCCAATGGGTACCGGTGGCAGAGCGGCGGGTGTGTGAAGCAGAAGTTCATTTATTAGTCATTTGTCATGGAAATGACCTGTCAGATTCAGTTACCGGCGGGATCAGTCGGTATAGTGACTGGCTACTAGCTGGGCAGTGGGGATTTAGGTTCCCGGCTGGACAAAAGATTATTCTCTTCCGCAGAGTGTCCAGACTGGCTCTGGTGCCAATCCAGGCTGTTATCCATTAATCACTGGGCTCTTTCCCGAGGATGTAAAGAGGACAGCGCGTGAAGCTAACCACTCACATCCTTCTACTACCGAGGTGAAGAATGGTGGAGCTATACCTCCACTCCCCTGTATATCTCCATGACGTGTTGCTTAATTAATTAAGCACAGGGACTTTATATTATTAGTACCACCTACTGTAATCTCACGCAGCACCATTACGATTGCACTGTGTGCAGAGATATGTAGTACGTAATACGGAAATGGATGGTTACCTGGTTGTGCTTGCCACGCCCCTGGGAACGTGGATCGGAGACACGGACTCTGTTGGTGAGCTAGCCACGTAATGGTTTTTGTTAACCTTCCTTGCCATCCTGCTGCTAGCAAGACTTGGGCTGTTGCCGAACGTGAACAGACAGCGTCGACGTTAAATGAATGTTGTCGGAGGAGCAGGATATTCGTTCGATGCTGCAAGCAAAGAAAAAAACATGATTAGAGGACTGATAGTTTAAACATGGAGGTAGATTCGGAAGTACATACTGCCTCCATCTTCATGGACGAGACGTTAGTTTGGCGAGTTACTGTGTACAGAAACTCACCAACTTACACATCTCTCTCTCTCTCTCTCTCTATATATATATATATATAGTTGTTTGTAGGTTGGTGACTTAGAAATCACCAACCTACAAACTTCCAGACTGAAGCTGGAGGCAGAATGTACGTCCGAAACATCAGCAACTTCGGTAACAACCATGCAAAGTAACAACCCAAGAATAGATTTGTTATGAAATGTACAAGAATCCAGTTCGTACCGCACAGGAAACGGTCCCCATTGTACAGACAGAGAGATCAATGCTGGGAATGAATTCAGACTATCTTAATGTTAAAGCAGATGTTACATATTGTAATACACTCGCTTGGCTGCTTCAGCGTAATCTGACGGCTCGTTCATATTTCGGTCAATATGAAAACTGGAATGGCCCCAAACTGTTCTAACGTGTCGGCAGTTGCTATCCACTGCCTAGTGCTACTGGTTCGTACTCGAGAGGTCCGCCGTTCGAATTTTCGCCCTGAAACAGGCCCTCTTGAATGAGGTTCCTTGTCGTTACCTTCACCCTCGTCACTCAAATACCGACATACTGCCTCAAATTCGGGCACGATCACTTCCTTTCCAGCTCAGTGTTCACTCATCTTGTCCTTCTACGCTATATTGTCTGAGCTATTTACATCGCTAAGCAATTTCGTTATTTCTCACAGGAGATGGACGAAGTTTCGCAGACAGGGGAGTATACTTCCTTATATATTTCAATTGGATGGCCGAGGTGTCGGAATTCGAGTCCCGGCAGGGGCAAGATTTTTTTGCTCTTCACGTCTTTGCAGATCGATTTTGAGGTCCATCCAGCCTCCTGCCCGATGGGTACCGGGAGTAAGACGGCCGGGGTGTGAAGCTGACCACTTTCCAACAAGCGTCGAGGTGAAGAATACGTGGATACATACATTCACTCTTCCATACGTCTTCCTAACACAGTGCTTAATTAATTAAGTAAAAAAGTAAAGTAACGCTATCTCTGTAACAGGCCGTGAAGGCCCATATGGTAGTGAGACGTCGAGGCTTCCATACTTTCTAGACAATTGCCTCACAGATGGCGGTGAGGATGTAAGTCTGATGCGCCAGCCGGCCCTCCTTTACTCCCAGGAAGGTTCCTGGTATTCATTTCTGTTAGAGGCTGAGTCGAACCCATGGCCATAGTGCGGCTGGAAGGATTATTTTATCCGTGTACTCTTCATAACCTTCTGAGGGATATCGGACGCAATAAAAGGGAAGAATCTGACGGAACCTCGAAGTAAACAATTCCCACCTCGAGTTCTGTCTTCTGATATACTCGTATAACGCAGTGTATTCCGTTGAAAGTCAACCGACGTTTCGGAGGAACATGTCTCCTCAATCTGCGGGGTCGAGGAATTAAGACGAGCAAGAAATCAGCATGCAAGCTGGTAGCAAACAGAGCTTTTAAAGACCGCAGTGCCCACACAGTCTGGATAAACTGAGAACCAATATATCCAACATCACTGCCGAAATTTAACCAATGATGCTGCAGGCATTCTTTACGGACGTGCTTCGTCGTGTACTCAACCTGCTGCTGCACACTTTCAGGGCTTCTTGCGGCATAATGCACTGTAAACATTTCACTTTTGATAAAGTTCTGGTTCAAAGGAATTTTCCACCTAAATTTCTCGCTAAAATGGCCCATTCCTCATGATATTTGACGTCACTCAGAGTCGCCGTTACTTACGAATATAGGCCGCGCCATAGCTCAAGCGGTTAGTCGCTGGCTTCCCACCGCGGCGGCCCAGGGTCGAGCCTGGGTCTGGTCCCGTGTGATTTGTGATGGACAAAGTGGCGCTGGGGCAGGTTTCCTCCGAGTACTTCGGTTTCCCTTGCCAATCTTCATTCCACCAAATTCTCCATCATAGTCACCCGGGGAAGGTATAATAGGCCAATCAGTGGCCGACGTGCCGAGTGGACCCAGCTGGACTCCACCCCCCTTCCTTAACGAAAAAAAAAGTACATAGATCATGGCACCTGGGGCCATCTCAACAGTTTACCTCATAAATCACCCCAAGCAGTAATACCAACAATGCAGCCTCCAAAACTGTATCGATTTATTGTCTTCATTGCGCATTCAGATTAAGTTTTCTTTCTACTTACCGTACCAGATAATAAAGTTACAGTAAAAAGAAAGTAGGCGGTTACTTTTTCACAGAACTTCGTGTTTTCTTTGTTTATCTGAACTTTCTTTTGTCCTTTCGCTTGTGATTATATTAACGGTGGTGATTTGTAATGTATGGAGATTAGCGATAGAGCTGTGGTTGTGTGCTATTCTGAGTGGTGTGTCCAAGTGTGTCAGTAACAGTTCAACCCAAACTTCGTCTATAGTCACGACCGTAAACACGTGACAAACCGGTGTCAGAATCAGCATTAATTCAATTAGTTCTGTGTTTGTTAATAATAATAATAATCTAGAGGTGCTAATGTTGGCAGAGGTCGACGTGTAATACCGGCTGAAACAATGGCTCTTACTTCTAAACATCTTTTGATCCTATTCTAAATAGCTGAAATTAGTTTTGCATTTGGAGTCAGGGGGAAGCGACAGATAAAGTGTCCTGCTAGGACTAATTATAGACCAAAATATTGTAGAAGTGTCCTCTGTACATCTTTTATTACACTTTCTAAAATCACTGGCCCCTTACTTCACCGCCATCTTTCTTTGCTCCCAATCTAGAACGATCTAGAACACTACTAGTTTTATGCTCGCCCATGAGCTTACCTTAAAGGTGTGGGCGGCCAGAACCTAGGCTAGTGATATGTCGATCCATCGAACCATATTCTGAAGACCAATGAGAAATGGGGCTTTGCAATAAAGTGAGAGTGCGTCACGAACAGGAAAATCGATACAGCTAAAATTCTCAGACAGTCAACATTTTTTCAGATGTTAGAAAGTTGACGGAACCGTAACAACATTCAATAGACGTGTCCTGAACTTAAATTACCTGTATTTGCTCGGGAGTTTCATAACCTTTAAATGCCGGACTTCTGAAAGAGTGGTAAGCTTGAGCTGGCCGGAGTTTATGGATGTAGAGGAGGTACTTATGAACGGCAAAAATATTGTACAGGTTGTCCGTTATTTTATTCTGAAATCCCTAAAAAAAGTTTGGACTCAATTCCTTTCCTAGAAACGGCCCAATCTGTCACATTTCTCCCTCCTTAAGGCTGTTCGTCCCGAATAGCCTAACGGTGTGTCACTGTTCCTTCTTTTCTTAGGGTTGTGCTCGTGATGTCTTCTTTTCCTGTCTCGGTGTTTCCTCTTCTTGGTTTTTTTCGGGGTTGCGGTGACCACTCTCCAACCGCTACCCCTGCTCCCTCTTTAAGTACACTCGTCTCGAGCAGCATCTGCTAAGTTTCGGTCATTTCAGGTTCATCATCTTCATCTAAAGTTTTCTCTCTCTTGGTGGGGACCGGTGCTTTTACATTACCGACTCCTGTTCTATCTGCAGTATCTTTTTCCGTTTCTGGGGGTTCGAGCCTTCCACAATGTCCAGTCCCTCATCTTTTGTAACCCGATAGAAGATCCGGCTATTCGCTTCACGATTTCCAGCCTGTAGGTCTTTCCGGAAATTCTTCCATCTGCTATCCTCTCGATCTTAAGATGCAGCCGTCGTCTTGTTCCTAGATCTCCCACACCAGTGTTGCATTCCGGATCCACCCGACGTCTTTTCCCAAACGCCTGTCCTCTCAGGGCTCCTCTTGCAACGGTGTTCCCAGTCTGGTTCTTCCTGACGATGTATCCCATACGCCATGCCACTTTCGAACTGCGGGACTCCTTCCTGCAGGCGGCAGCCAACTTTCTCCGGGATCCACAATCTACTCGGGTCAGTTCCTTTGGCTTTCTGCAGCGCCCTGCAGCTAGATTTTGGCCTGTGTGCCGCTTCCTCAATCCTCCGACAGGTTTCACTGCAGCACGTTCCTTAGGGGATTCCCGATGCTCCGCCTCGGACTCCATTTCCTCAGGTTTGCCTTCAAATCCGTGGTCTTCCTCGCTTCTCGGTTGGCCCGAATCTCTCTTCGGCAGCCTTCCAGTTTGGCGACGATTCGCAGGTTCACGGTGGAGGTATTCGACCCCGCCTCCACACGGGTTGACCATACTTCACGTTTCTTGTTTGTCACATCGCCACTGACGGTCAGTCAGTCTGTCTGTCTTGGTGTCGAGCCCCGGTTTTCACTCTCTCTCTTACTCCAGACTTCACTTCTGACTTATATTTCAGCCGACCGAATATGTGACACTGTTCCCAGCAGTTAATCTTACCGCGTTCCTCCGTTGCTGCGCTTTTAACGATTCGTTGCCGTGGAAATCGACTTTCAACACCTGAAGTTTCACTGCATGCAGTAAATCATAGTACTCGAACCGTTTCCTAGTAATGGGCGCCTATTCTTGAACATTTGGGAACGTGTTTACCTGTTCTGTCATAATATCACGGATGCATTGAATTGCGAGATCTTCTCTAAGCTAAGAAACGGATATAGGTAGTTTATGTATTACAGTTGACCTATATATTTGCGGGGATTACGTTCCTGTAAATTCAAGCGGCTGTTGGAACCGTAATTCAAGGGGGGGGGGGATGGAGTTAAATTTCTTGCACGACAAGGGTATTAGAACATAGACCCAAATCAGTAAGAGAATATTTGCATATGAGAGGGGTACGCGGTAGCGTAGTTGGTTGAGGTACTGCGTTACAAGCCGGGAGGTAGCGGGTTCGAGTTCCGATGAGGTAACTGAATTTTTCAATCGACCTAATCCTTCCAGCCGCACTATGGCCCTGGGGTAAAAGTGAGGCCGGTGCGTAAGGACAACAACAACGAAATATCAACTTAACCATTTTTGGTTGCATTTGTTATGCAGTAGGTTTGA